TTATATTTAACGACAAAAAATCCAAAACACGATATTTCCAAAATCAAGTATTGTTATAGAGAGAAATGATTACTTATAAATATCATAATGAAGCAATGGGTTCATGATTATCGTTCGCAAAATTGTTTCGATTTTTCAATCAAATAAATAAATGATGCAAAATACCTATTGTCGGTGAATAGCTGTCGGCGTCGTGAATAGATACGCTTACGAGTTGTTAATCGTAAATGTTAATCAGTTACGTAGACTAATTGATGAATATTCATAAGAAGTGATCGCATTCTCTTCCAGTATTCGTCGCAATTGCGTTTTAAAGAGTAGTGGAACGACACACGGAGCGTCTTACGCCGCGTCCTTCTCCCACGAACTCCGCCGCGCGAATGACAACATCACCGCGCGTAAACAACAACGCACTTCACGCCGCAAAAAGACGAGCGCTAAACATCGTGATAGTTTGTTGCCGTCGCAAAATATTTAATGTATTACAAAATATATATATTCACATACATATATAGATTTATAATATATAATATATGATTTATACACATATGATATCTAATATTTCTTATAATTTTAAATTTGTTATTAATGAACAGTTGATAAAGTTTACGACTTTTCATTATTTAAATCACTCGTGTATTACTGCGCGCTCTCTTAATCCCAAAAGGGCAAATTACATTTAACGACGAAAAGTTAGATTCAAGATATTTCAGAAATCAAATATCGTTATAGAAATGATTATTTTTATAAATATCAATAGTTGCCATCGAGAATAGATACGTTTACGCGTTGTTAATCGTAGATGTTAATTTGTCACACGGGCTAATAATAATTAAATATTTACTAGAAATGATTGCGTTCTTTTTCAGTATTTGTTACTGTTGTGTTTCAATAAATCAATAAATAATCGAACGACACATGGAGTATCTTACGCCATGTCCTGTTCGCTTGAGTCTCGTCGCGAAAATGACAACAAAGTGATTTTGCACAGGGATATAATATGCTATACGTCACAGAGGACAAACATCGTATCAATCATCACAAAATATTTAATACATTATATAAAATAAATGTACACCATTCTTTTTAACTTAATTACATTTACCTCACTCTTTTATCCGATGATTGTTAATGCTTTAATCTTGATCCATTATATTTTCTTTTACGTAATTCTTGAATCAATCATGATGAAATTTTATTATTTATGTAAGATCGTATAATCGTGTTTGAGAAATAATTCAAATGAAACTGCGAGCATAATACACAAACTGAAAAAAACGATTACGAAATATTCGCCAAAATGATAAATCCTCACACATTACGAGGTTTAGTATAAATATTGTAAATCAAAAATACAGATGTGTATAAAGAAAAAAGGGGAAAGCTTGAGATTGTTTTCTTATGCCACTGTTTTACGTGCTTTTTTATTGGCGCGATCAATAAAAATTTAAAGAATATTTTATGCCGCCAGATATAATAGTACAAAGATTTTTCATGTTATTCCATATTTGCACGCAGAAAGCGCTTCGCGTTATATACGATCTTATAGAGAGAATTTTACATTTTCAGTGATAAAATATGATAAAGAGATCTTTTACCATATCGCATAAATGTACGTTTGAATTAAATGGAAAAGTAGGTACGAATATACAAAAAAATGAATATATATGGTACTTAAACATAAAAGATTCATTACACATTTGTTAGAAATATAATGAAACATTCAGAGAATGAGTAAAATTTGAAAGATACATTTTTATAGTAAAATCTTATTAACAAAAATAAAAAAAGTATTATTTTTATCATTTTTGTACGCGGCTATATTAAAAAAAATATTATAGAAGGTTTTGAGAGAGAAAAGAGAGAGAGAGAGAGAGAGAGAGTATATTTAAAGAAAGAATAAATAAGCTCGATGCAATAGAATAAAATCCACAAAGGCATAATAACACAAAGACGAGTTAATGATTAAATTTTTTCTTTTTCACTAATAATATAACTTAAAATTTCTGTTACCCTTGAAGATAATTTTTATGCAACTTTTGTGTAAAAGGTACATGAGAATACAGTGAGATAAAAAGAAAGACAAAAAAAAAAGAAGGAAAAGGAAGAAGAATTCTTGTCCGAACACGAAAATGGAACTTAATTTTTTACGAGAGAAGAAAACTTACTACTCGATTAAAATGAAGCAGTATTACGTGCATCGAGACACATCAGAAGCGGCAGAATCTTTAATTAGATTTCCTGCAATGTATTTTTACGACTTATTACAAATTCTTTTCGATGATGAAGAGAACACTTCGATATATAACAATGCTGTCTGCGCTCGAATTGCATTTTTCTCTAAGAGCATTTCGTCGACGGAAATCCAGCGATCAGGAGCACGTCATACCGTTAATGAAAACGAGCGCTGAGAGAAGAAGACCACAAAGTGGACGTCGATAAAGTCGCCGTGGAGAGGATGCTCGACAACCCCGACGACGAAGGATGTCGAGCGCGGAACAAATTAAATTTTCTTCGTTGACTAGTCCGAATTTCCCCGTCGAGCCCTTCATTCTCGGCGCATTCTTCCTTCCTTCCTTGCTTCCAGTTCATTCGTCTCTGGTTTCCTTTTTGGCAATCAAACGAACAGGAATCAAACCTGTACCATCATCGTATTCCTAAAATCAAGACGACCAAAATTCCTGCTTCTTCCATTATCGTTTTATTTTTTGCGTTATATTTTTTTATAATATAATTGATAGCTGCTTCGACAAATTGAAGAATTGCTCTGACGAAAAATTAAAATGTAAGCATAAATTTTTTAGCAATACGTATTTTATTTTATTGCTAGGTATTCTTGGAGAAAGATATATTTATATTTTTATTTTTTTAATTATATACACGTGTATGCATATGTATAAGATTGAGTAAAAGAAATTAAAGAAAAATTTTTAATCTGATTTGTGAAAGACAGATGTATACGTTAAGATGTTTGGTTTTGTGACAAAAATCAACTGTTAAAGAATGTCACATCTTTAATGTCTCGATGGATAGGCATCAATCATTCCCTGTACATGAGAGAATTCACCTAAATATATTTATTCAATATATTTTGTCAGGATGGAAAAATTAAAGGCATGAAATAGAGAGAAGTAGCCAAGATATTCAAGTTAAAAGTCAAAATGCAAAGTAAATCAAATCACACCTGGAATAACATAACATGAAAGAAGCAGGTGACATAAAACGGAAGACGATCATAGCCAAGTTAGGAAGCACAATAAACAAAATAGATGAAAACTAGTGCTAAATAATTTTTAAATATCTATATCTGATCCACGCTACATCTATGTCTAGCTTAAACATACATGTCTTCGATTTTTCTATTTTAATTTTTGAGATCCAAAATGTACAGTTTCTAAAAATTTTAACGTTTATAAAATTTCTTTTAAGCAAACAAAAAAATTTTATTTTGTAATAATATTTTTGAAGTAATCCAAAATAAGATATTAAGAAAATAAAATATCTTATTAACAAAAAAAATTGATGTAATCATTCTTGAATGATGTCTGGCGTAAATCACAGATAAAATGTAAGAAAGCAGAAAGAAAGATAAAAAAGTGAACTGCATGCAAAATCTCTAAGATGCCGTCGGGCCAAAGATATGAGGACGCCCGGCGGCTTATCCAGTTTGCATGAAAGTGTTCTTTGTGAATAAAGAAAAAGTGTGAAAGTTAGGGGGAAACCCGTGTTATATATATCGTGCATATTTCTCACAAAAGGCAAATGCATTCGGAATGATACGTTGCATAAGAAGGTAAATCATAATACAAGAGAATTAAACTTTATTGATCTGCATTATGCAAGGATATGGTTCGTGTAATTACAAATTTAATCATATTACATTGAAGTGCGCGTAATTATAATTATATATTTGGTAGCAAATTAATATTTATAATTAAAATAATTTTTTAACATTTGGTGTAATTTACTTATTAAAAATATATTTTCATAAATTTGTATTAAAACAGATTTAAGTAGATTGGTGCATGTCCATTAAAAAAGTTGTAAATCATAAATTTAAACATTCCGCCTGAGTAATGATTTCTTTAGATGACTAAATGGCTTCTCTAAATGTCTTCTCTAGATTGTGCCTATATACTGTTATTTTACTTTATTCACATATTTATATATTTACGAAAATGTTATTCCGTAACAACGTTAGGAATTTCATTCTACGTTGATAGTTGATTAATTTCAACCATCGCTTTATAGTCCTTTGGTTATGTCATTGTGTGCACGCTTATACTTGTGCACACAAACGAACTATAAACTATACGTGTAAGATGATCTTGAGTTGTATATGCGTATATATGTGTGCGTGCTTGCGCGAATACAACGGGCACGCGGTAGCCTAGCATAACACTCGTCTACGTATACACAACTTACCTCGAGGAGTTTGCCGGCGTTCTTGCTTGCATTTGCCTAACCACGTTAACGGATCCCCCGATCCAAATATCAGCTTCGAGGAAGCCTCTGCGGATCGCGCTTTCCACACACCGGATCCGTGCCAAGACCGGCAACCAAATCTTTGTCCCTACGAACTGCCGCAAAACAAATTTCGAGTTTCGCGATTTGCCGCTTATATGCATATAAACCCCCGTCAGTTCTCCCTATCACGGCAAAATAAAAAAAAAACGAATATGATAGAGAATCAGGAGCAATTTAAAAGTTTTTAAATTTCGCAAATTAAACATTTTTAGCTCGTCATTCAAAGCAGAATTTTAATTCTTTGGTGGAGGAGCAAGTGGACGTCCACTTAAAAATGAGAATATCAAATTCAATTTGGTAGCAAAATTAAAAGCTATTTAAGTATTCTTAAATTTATATAATTTAGATTTTGAATTACAATTCCTTGGCAGCATCCAAGGAAAAGTACCCCACACATTTTCGATACAAAATTATTTAAAATTAATTAGAATTATCTATTTAGTAATTGAATATTTTTATATTTTTGATTGTAGATGAGCGGCAAACGGACAAGAAGTTTCAAGTGCGCTGTGCACCATCGGGACCGTGAAATCTGTTCCGAAAACGATTTCCACCTGCTTGTGCACGAGCCGCCTCTGTTTCACAGGTAGGATAAATCACGTTCAATACATTTTTTCACAATCTACCGGAATGCGACAGTAGTGCTTTGGAACGTGGAATTTTTCCTTCTCCATTAGATTTTCATAAGATATTCCTTTAGGTTTCGAAACTTCTATGACAAATTTTGAAAACTGATCTGATGATTCCGATGATTAATCTATTCTGATTATTGTGGAATTTAGATTGTTTTCTTGAGATTTTAACATGACATTTTGATTTGCATTATTGATAATTATATATCCTGATTGATATAATAAAAATTATATAGTTAAACTTATTAAATTAATTAAACATATTAAAAAAAATTTGGTCACGAAATCTATTACTAAAACATATCTTTAGACCGTATATATCAGAGTTAAGATAACACGACAGATTGAAATGGGAATAAACCGATTCTCCCATCTTGTGATGCAAAAAGCAAGAAAGACACAAAAATGTAGCGAATGTGAATAAAACGAAGACACGAGGCGCGAAGAAAGTCCTGCATTTTATTATTCCGGCGGAATATCCGACGTGCACACGACGACGACGAGGACGACGGCGGAGACGGCAACGGTGACGGCAACGCGGTCGAGGACGACCGTTCTTGCAGTATTTCTGCTGTGCATTTTATGCTGCGCATCGTTACCCATGCGAGAGAACCCCGAGGAGGTACCAACATATCTCGTACATTGTGTACGACCTGCGAAACATCAACATCTTCCTGCTTCCTACGTCCCGCTTCTACGATCCCAGACACTTCCTTCTTCATGCCTTTCTCACTTGCGTATTTTATGCTTCGCGAAATTATAAGCGCGAGAATATCGTTATTTATCGATATTTATGTTTATATTTTTACGCTTTTAAATCATACATTTTTCTTTTCCGGAAAGTGACGCAGATCCAACATTGAAATATTATGAGTTTCCGCGAAAGGAAAATATAAATCGAGTATAAATTGTTACCGAATATGAGAGAGAGAGAGAGAGAGAGAGAAAGAGATCGCTACACTATTGGAAGCGGATTAGCGTTATAATCGATATGGTAAATATCGTTCGTCGTTAATCACGCATTTAACGAGTCCAACGAAAGTTCGTCAATATAACTTACAGAATAATCGCTATTACGCGACGGGCTTAATAACACAATTTATTGACGTCCCCGACGCGATACAGTTTCAAATGTAATTTATAAACGTACGTGACGAAATATTTGGGACGCAATTTAAATAAAGGCATCTCACACCTTTCCACCGCTATCTATCGCATCATTTATGATAATATCATTGCGCATCGATGTCGTCTCGCGAGCTCGAAGGCAAAGTTTGTTTCGCCGATGCAACTTCGATGTTAATTCTTTTTTTTTCGCGGACCAGCTCGATAAGATGAATAGGTTTGGATATGTATCGGGCATCGTAAGAAAGCGTCGGGTCTCTCGAGCGTGGTCGATTCGACTTGTTCCTGGATGCTATTCATAAATAATTCATCGTATCGTCCCGCACGAAAGAAGAGATGGAGAAGGTGGTGCTTGACGGAGTGAAAGAGAGAAAGAAGAGGGAGAAAAAGAGAGAAACAAGGAAAAAAAACCGAGAAGACAACGACGAAAAAGATAGACCATGCAAGATAGGCTTTGCGGGGCGGCTCTATACGAAAGCTGATGGAACTCTCACAGCTTCCAAAGCTTCGATTATCAAGGAACGTCAGATAATAATTTTGTTCAAAACAATATTTGTCAATTACTTAAAGTTATATGTTCCGAGATAAAATAAGCCACGATATCTTATCTTCTTGTTATTATCATTCATCAAATTCTCAAAAATTATTAACTTTGGTTTCCAAAAGTCACTATCCACATTCCTGGAGATAGAAAGTTGAGCGAAAAAAAAGTTGAAAGATAAAAGGACTAGGTGAGTAGAAAGGCAAATGAAAAGTAGAGATATGCGAGAGAAGAGAGAAAGAGAGAGAGAAGGAAAGTTGAGCACTGTGAAATCTGGGCGTCGCGCAGCGCTGTGCCGAGGCGAGAAATTCCTGTGCACACAAGATAAGAAGAAGCGGCAACCTGCAGGCAGGGCTCTTTGCAAATAAAATATCGTCTCGTGTCAAGCGGTCGGCGGGGATACGGCCAATGGGGGGATTGTTCGGGGGGCGGGGATCCGACGCGTTACGACGGAAATATGACGAGACGATATTCCGAGCAGGTACTGGGCGCATGCTTGGAATTCGGTGCGAGTACAACCCTTAAGTCTTGGGTGCGCCAGCCTTGCACCGTCCCCCGTCTCACCCCTTTTGTCATCCCTGGCCGCTTCCACGATCTCGCATATTCGCGTATCTCTTCGTCTCTTTCTTTCTCTTTTTTCGTCCGCATTCTGTTACGTTAACGCGACGAGGAGTATGTAAATTTCACCGCTGACTCGCGAAAAGGTGAGACTACTTTGTTCATATCCCCCCTCCGCCTCCCTTGAGACCTCGTACACTCGACATACCTGAAAAACTGAGCGCGTACATAGTGGCGGCGGTTTATGGCTGGTGATACATCTTGGAGAGATACATCTCGTATTGGATACGAGATGGTGATGGAGATGGGGATGACGAGAGGGATGTCGAGATCTTTGAGATATCCCGACACGAATTGCAACAGTTGTCCAAGCAAAGCACACGATTAATACTTTATCTCTAAACCGTAAAGCTGGACTGCGTGTGCATGATCACGTTAATAAATGCTTTTCACGAACTTTAGTATTTTCAAGAAAGCAGGTTTAAAATCATACACGGTGTGGAGAACAATATGAATGGATTCACTTTTGTGATTTTGCCGCAATTACACCGATTCTTGCTCCGGCAATATTTTCGTTCACCATTGTTGCGAAAAGAAGAGATGGAGCGCTAAGCGTCGCTTCTCCTACTTTTTCTTTTTCACGGTATTCGTTCTCGCTTAACAAACTCGAAGCGGACATTTTGTAAGGCAGACCGGGACAGTTACACAAAAAGACCCGATTACATACATGCGGAAATTCGCCGCGCCCGAGTTTCCCACTTGGTCTCGGCCCTTTGTCGACCCCCGCATGCTTCCATTTTTCGCTTCCGCGAGAGCGTCATCCAGCCGTTATGTGTTCGTTCACGCTTCTCGCCGACGTGACGATGAGCTTCTGCTCTCGCGGAAAAGCACTTCACTTCCTCTCTCATCGCATACATACGTTACCGTTATAACGAACTACCAACAGAGAACAATTATATCGCGCTTTTAACGCGTTCTCCACGGCTCTTCCAGAAAGAGCGCGAGCATTCCTGTCGAAGCCGCGGAACCGTAACTTTGACTTCAACGCGAAACTCGGCCGCGTTTTGTGATTAAAAACTTGAACCGCAAATTACTTGCAGCTTGCGAGAATATTACTGCTGAGTAATTAAGAAGAGTCCGTGCAGATCTCGTGGTACATTCCAGACTTTGAAGGATTCAAGAAATAATTTAAAAATTTTCTCAATCGAGAATGAATCTAAATTTTTATTAAGCGACAGATCTTTTCTCTTAAAAATACTGAAAATCGTGCAAGAATAGGGCACACATAAATTCCATTATATTTAACTATAGTTAAATCCTTGAATAGAATAGGTTTTCACTTTTTTTACATTTTGAGAAATAAAAAAATGAGAAGGGATTTAATCTTAATATTGCTATATAAAATGTCAAATAATTAAGCATGTAATTGTATATATATACATTTCAAAACATTATTTTCATTGTTTTGTGTATCTGCCGAATCGCATAACGACTCTATTACTTCGACACGGAGTTTATCCGTGACAAAATTCGGTAAACCGATTTTCACAACAATTTCACACAGTCAGTCAATTTTTCGCCTTCGGAATAGGACAGTCCGTTTTTAACAAAGGCGTGAATAATACCTTTTCGGGAAAAATAACGATATTTTTATCGTTTTTGAAATATACCGACACGTCATTCAACCAAGACCGCCCGCGTTCCAAGACTGAGCTCCTGGAATCTTTTTCACGCTTAACTATTTACCTACCACGTCAAAGACTCTTGGTAACAACGATGCACGTATTCGTTGTCACCGTCGACGGAGTCGACTTCGTCGCTGCACATTGTGAAAGACCGTCGTTCATTGTTGACCATCAAAGGGCCGCGTCTCGCGTCGAAAATCGCCTGAAACGAGGAAAGAGAAACCGGCAAATTGGAGGCTGGACCAACGTTGTGCTGCTATGACCTCCTGTGTGAGAGCTACGTGGCCATTTTTTAAATATTCGCCTAATTGGTCGACCCAGTGACACGTAATGAGATGATACCAGTGTACAAAGGATTTAAGGATCTGAAGATATTTGAGAACATGAATAGGTAAAAACTATGAGGAAGAGAGAGAGATCAGTATAATCCGTAATTAGTACAGAATTTTGAAGAAATCTATAGCATATATATTTATAGTACGCAAATTCTTTGAATAATGTTCACATTACTGCAGTTGTATTATTTGTTAATATCATCGAGTCGAACATACTAACAATAAATATATTTTGTTTGTTTTCTGGAATGTTTTTATAAAGTAAATATATTTCCGGCGATGTGTGTGTATAATTTTTTTTTTCATATACATACATACATATTATTAAATACTGTTTTTACCTTTTTGCAAAATTATAATAATAATTGCAAATGCGCGTAGATCAGTAAACCCATATTTTTTTCATTTTGAAACAAGTTTTGTTTAAATTATAAATTGTAAGTTCTTCTATTTGCATTGCATAAGATTTAAGGAAGAATTAGCATAGTTATTTGTTTAATTTAGCAAGTTTCGAATTTCATTTAAGGATATTAAAAAATAATATACAATCACAATACTTACAAAATGCCAATTATAATTATAAAAATGATTTATATAATTTTGTGTTAAGCTAAGAACTAAACGAGAAATGTATAAAATTGATGTAATATTTTAATAGTATTTTCATATAAGAGATAATATTGATTAACATAAATATAATAAACTTTTTC